GCTATAGTATAAAAATACTAGTAAAATCAAAGTTTTATTTGAATTTACTCTGGACATTTTGAATTATAGTTATATTTATTCAGTGCTGTATTTTGCACTACTATTTATACTGTTTTATTTAAATGAAAACATTTTCATTAATCAATGTCATGATAATAAATGTATAAGTTACACATATTGTATTTATTATTAATGAGCTATATAAAAATATTTTAAATAATATTATTTCCTAATTTAAGAACAAATGTATGTTTAAAATTATAAATAACATGATAAATATATAGTAACTTGTGCAAAATTCTTAGAATTGTTATTTAATTGTCATTTTGTGCTATTGATAGCACAAAAAATATATTAAATTTCACAACCTTATAAACATAATTCTAATTAATTATTTTAAATACAAATGTTTATTGCCCAGACAACATAAATCTTAAGTCTAAAATATGCTTTTAGAAATATGATTTATATAACTTAATTTAGGTACAAATACTGTATAGCTTTTAAATAAATAATCTGTAATATTTTATAATTATTTTATTTATTATATAATAAAATTTTTATTTAAAATTATAAAGTTGATAGTTACAGTTTATAGTTATTTTATAATTAATTAAATCAACGGACAATATCATTATATTTATAAACATAATATTTAACTTGTTTTGCATTGATATTATCATGCTTATTATAAATATGTTTTAAATCTTTTTATTAAATCCACATTTGTTGTCATCATAAGTATATACTCTTAAAAACAGATGACTTATAATAGTCAAATGGAGCATGGTATGCGTATTTTGCGGGTTTCACAGCTAATATACGTTGGTGAAATTGATTCTCATTAACATTAATATTTTTGTGCTTATTTATAACATAATTACTAATGTCACAAAAATAGCAATTCTAGTAAATCAATTTACATAAATATATTAAGTCACTATGCAAATTAAACTATGCTTGCTCTAGAAAATATTATTTATATGATTTTAGTACAAATTTCATATTTTCAAAAATAAATAATTTATTAAATCTTTATAAAATAATTAATAACAATATCAGTATAATAAAGTTATTACTATTATTATTTATAATTTGAATTTTTAACAGGTCGAAAATTTAATAGATCATGCTCATTATAACTTTGCTTAAAACTATGTAAATATCTCCACATTTGTTGCCGAAAACGTCTACTCATCGGGAAATATATAACCGTATAAAGCAAATGACTTATAATTGTCAAATGTAGCATAGTGTGATGACCCTGCGCATAACACGGTTTATTTAAATCAGTGAAATAATTCATTTCACGGATTAAAAAATATACAAATATATGGTTTGCGGAAATAATTATGATTATTAAAATAAGCCTGATAATTATAATTAACTTTTTTGAATTCTTTCTATTAGTCCAATATTTATAAACTGTCATGATCGTAACGGAAACTGTTATTGACAAAGGTATAAACGAGTCAATTATCAGCAAA